CCTTCTTTTTGAGTAGGAGAGACAAAGTCTCACTGCAGAGCTCATACTGGCCTTGAGTCCACTATGAGGTCTTGTGTCCCTCCCTTCCGTGGTAGAATCTGAAATGTCCCCATCAGACTCCGGCTTTGAACGCTGAAAGACTGGAGCCTTGAAGATGGAGAGCCTCTAAGGTTGGAACCTTCCTGGCAGGAGGAAAGATGTCACTAGGGGTGGGTCTTTGAAGGTTTCCTCTGCCTCTGGTGCTAGCCCCTGCTCTGACTGCTTCCTGGAACACATGGTGGGATTAGGCCCCTTCATCGTGTCCCTGCCACTGGAGGCACAGCTGTGCCCCCCATAATCATAGGCTGAGACCCTTGAAAACCCTGATTCAAAAGCAGTTTTTGCCTCTGCCACGGGTTTGGTCACAGTGCTTCAAAAGTTAATGCGTACACAGCCTCGGTCTCCAGAGTGCTTGGATTAAAGACACGCCACCACACCTGGCACTGAGCTGTGACAATCTCAAGGTTGAAGATTACACCCCATTTATCTTTGCATGCCCCAATAAGGCTCCAATAAGCCATCACTCAATTTAATAGGGTCCTGCTTCCCACAAAACCTTCCTTTCTGGGTGGCCAGAACAGGCTCTATTCATCACCAACCAGGCTAGGTCTCCACTGGGACAGTACAGCCAAGGCCCTTGGGAGCAATGGTTGGGAGTCCCCAGCCTAACAGTTTTGCTTAGTCCAGGCTTATTAATCAACAGCAGCTTATCAGTACATTTTAAGCACAAACAACTACAAAGAATTGAATACCAAGAAACCAGCCGTAGGGCTAGGTTCAAGGAAATCTATTCAATAGCAAAGGCTTAGAAGCTGTGTCTGCCATTCAGGGCAGTCGCTGTGGGCTCCATGGTAAGGTTTGCACGATGAGTTTGCTGAGGATGCTTTCCCCATAGCCCTTACAAAGCTAAGCTGGGAGGCAGGGGGATCCCACGGTGGTGAATACACGGTTCCCACGCCTGTAGTTCTCAGGTCTTGAGGCACTTAAGCATTGCAATGAAGATCTTTAATTATGCGCAGGTCAGGAAATAGCACATGTGTTTCTGGGTCTGTCTAATCCCCAGGCTGTATATTATCAGGGCCGACAGGGGCCAGGGCTGCTGCTCACATTTTTGTGAGATTATGCAATTTGGTTTTCCTTGACAGTCCCATGAGAAGCCTGGGAAAATTTACAATTTCAACCTTTTTCCTTTCCTGAGAAGGAAGTAGAGCTCCATTCTTTTGCCCGGCTATTCCCCCACCCCCACAAGAAAGAGTCCTGTAGAGGAATAACTTGGAGAACTCACGGAATGAGGACAACTGGGAGGGAAAAGTTGACAGGACCCCCGGGGCTGGAGAGACCGGAATCTATACGACTTCAGGGACAGTGCCCCCTCACATTTTCAAGTGATGAACTAAAGGACTAGGAGACCACATCCCCTCTCTGGTGGCAGACAGGAAGAGACGCAGCAGGCAGGGGAGCCAGAAAGACAAAGTACATGGGGAGATTGCAGAAATTGCGCCTCCCAAATGAATAGGGCATTTCTTCTGTGAAGGGGCTACTTCTGTGGAAGGGCAGGGCCTCAGGACTAAGTCCAGAATTCTCTCTTGGGGAGGTAGAGCCCTCAGACAGACTGACCTAGAGGACATATTTAAGTACTCTCGGCCTGAGCGTAAGCGCTGCCTCAGCGGTTTGTGGCGGGCACTTTCAGATGCAAATGTAAAGTCAGCCCCTCCAGGCTAATCTGCTTGCTACCCCTCCTTCACTCCAGGGCCCAGGAGAGGCTTGGCTGGGACAGCAATTCTTAGTGCCCTGCAACAGGGCGGTGTCATATCACAATGCTCCTGAACTTTAAAAGGAAAGAAAAAAAAAAAAGAAAGAAAGAAAAAGAAAAAGAAAAAGAAGAAAGTCTTAATAGCATTTCCCGCTCTGAAGGGGCCGATCAGTTATGGACTTTCTTTGGCCTCCACGCTGTTCATGAGAAAACTATCCAAACGGAACACCACCCTGCATCCCAGCCTGAAGTTCCCTAAGGAATTCACTGTGTGGAAAACAAACAAACAAACAAAAAAACCCAAGGGTGTATTTTTTCCAGGGTTGGACCCCTTCCCCTTCTGTAAATCTTCGAACAAAAATATTTCTGTCACATTTGTGCTCGTGAGCTCCCTTTGGCCCAGAAGCCACTTGTACTTGACCCCCTGCGCTCAGAAGAGAACCTGTGGGCTCTGGTTGTGCTTTCAAGTTCGCTGCTTTCGCTTGCTTTGCTTCTGCCCTGGAAGGATTTGCCACATGAGATTGAGTGATCTTCAGGGCTGTCAGCAAAACAGCATCCCTCCTTTGTGAGGGGCGACAGGCGTACAAAGAGGCAGCCTATTTCATCTGCTCATGCTGGCTGCCAACTTTTTAAACGACCCGCTTGAGCATTTTCCCACAGAACGTATGCTAATCGAAAAAAAGTGTGTATGACAGACCAGCTGAATGGGAGAGGGTCTCCCTAAATTCCACCACTAATGGTAATCACGATGCTTACTTTCAAAGGCTCTCTTGCTTATCTTTTTTCTATATATGGCTTTTATTTTTGAGTAAATAAAGGAACTCTGTGTGTGTGTGTGTGTGTGTGTGTGTGTTCCAGTCTCTTCCTTTACCACTTTCCACCTTATTTTTTATCTCCCTCCTCCCCCATCTCTGGCCCCACCCCCATGCCATGTTGGAGTTACAGAGGGACTACTGCAGTACCTGGCCTTTTATATGGGTGCTGGACATCTGAACCCTGTCTTCATACTTCAACAAGGACTTTACCCAATTAAGCCATCTCTGTATCTCATTTATATATATCGATATCTATCTATCATCTATACATTTACTAAGTAAAATTTCCTGCATATTTTTCATGCCAGATATTTTCCTGAAAATTTTGTTTGTTTGTTTGTTTTTTTGTTTTTGTTTTTGTTTTTCAAGACAGGGTTTCTCTGTATTGCTTTGGAGCCTGTCCTGGAGCTCACTCAGTAGTCCAGGCTGGCCTCGAACTCACAGAGATCCACCTGCCTCTACCTCCCAAGTGCTGGGATTAAAGGCGTGTGCCACCAACGCCCAGCCTGAAAAATTCATTTTTAAATGTTTCTTTTTATCTTATGAGCAATCCCCTATTCTGAGGACATTTAAAATAGTTCTCCATTAGGAAAAACGTCTTTTTAAAAAAAATCAGTATTTTGAACATTGGGTTAATTTACTTGCAGTAGAATTGCTACTCTAGAGATAAACCCAATTCTATGACTTTTATTTATCTACAGGTGCCTTCTCCCAAAAGACTGCAAGCCAAATGTGTCTTTCCCTCTTTTTAGTTTGTATTTATGGATAATAGTGAGCATTAGAGCTCCCAAACACGACTCTATTTAGTGCCTCTTTTGTAAGAATTCTCATTTGTGAATATTATCCAGAATCCCCCAAACAGACAACATGTGAAGAACTGGATATTTTCCATATTGATGTCTTAGAACTCTTTACATATTATATTCTAGAAGAGAATTCTCTGTACACTACAATTATTTTCCCCAGTTTGCTATCTGATTTCTTATCATGCTTGTTGCACAAAGCATATAAAGTTTTCTTGGAGCTGGAGAGATGGCTTAGCAATTTACAGCACTCGTTCTTGCAGAAGATCAGGGTTCAATTCCAAGCACTCATATGGCAACTCACAACTGTCCATAACTCCAGTTCCAGGATATCTAATGCCTTCTACTATACCCTTAGGCATCAGGCACATACTTGGTGCATAGACATACATGCAAGCAAAACACTCATCTATATAAATATATGAAATTAAAAGCATTAAGTTTTCTTCCTTTTTTTGGTTTTTGTCTTTTGGGGGTTTTGTTGGGATTTTTTGTTTGTTTTTGAGACAGGGTTTTTCTTCAGCCCTGGCTGTCCTAGAACTCACTCTGTAAACCAGACTGTCCTCAAACTTGGAAATCCACCTGTGTCTGCCTCCCAAGTGCTAAGATTAAAGGCATGCACCACAAACTCCCGACATCTTTTTATATTAACAAAAAACCCACAGAGCAACAGGAAGTTCAATGAACTACAATGACCTAATTATCACATTTGGAAAGAACCATGCAGAAGTTTAATTATTATTTTGAGTCATTTCAGCATGTATTTTCTTCTGTGGTTTTATCTTGTTATTTTGGGGATTACCGTTATTACTCTATAATGACTTGCATTTCTTTAGTTCCCTTTTATTAGCTTGTATCTTGTTAGGGTTTCTATTGCTGTGATGAAACACCATGATCAAAGCAAGCTGGGGAAGTAAGGGTTTATTTGTCTTACACTTTCAGATCACAGTCCATCAGTGAAGGAAATCAGGACGAGAACTCAAGCAGATATGAACCTGGAGGCAGGAGCTGATGTGGAGGCCATGGAGGATGCTGTTTACCGGCTTGCTCCTCATGCCTTGTTCAGTCTGCTTTCTTACAGAACCCAGGACCACAGCCCAAGGATGATACCAACCACAATGAGCTGGACCCTTCCCCATTGACCACTAACTGAGAAAATGCCTTACAGCTGGATCTCACGGAGGCATTTCCTCAACTGAGGCTCCTTCCTCTCTGAGGACTCTGGCTTGTGTCAAGTTGACACACGAAACCAGCAAGTACAACTGACCCCTTGACAACTTGGCACACAAATACACTACTATTAAGCCACAACTCTTCCTTTCTTAGTCATCCCCAAGATCGCACATTAAAACCATAAATAACTTTAAAAGTCTTACAGTCTTTACAAATTTAAACACATTAAAATTTCCATCGCTTTAAAATATCCAATCTCTTTTAAAAACTCATGTCTTTCATCTGTGGGCTCCTTTAAAAGTCAAAATTAAATACTGTCAAGAGGAAGAACCAGGGAACCATCACGATCTGAACCAAGCAAAACCAGACTCCACCAATACAAATAACTGAATGTCCCGTTATCTGGGATTCACTCACCTTCTTCTGGGCTCCTGCGAGGGCTTGGGTCCCTTCTCCAGCTCCGTCCTCCGCAGCGCACACAGCTCGTCTTCTAGGCTCGGACTGGCTCCACTCCTGGGGCTAGTGTCTAGTGGTCTTCCCACGGTACCGGCATCTCCAAAATTCTGGGGTCTTCTGCCGCAGTGGGGCTGTGCTGTCACTAATAGACTCCTCCGGCCTCTCACAGTGCCAAGCCTCAGGTGCTCTCTATAAGCCCTTCGTGCCTTCAAAATCCAGTACCACCTGGGTGATACTTACACATTCCCAAGGCCTGCTGCCCACCTGAAGGACAACCATGGCCGCCTCTGGAAAGCAGCATCTCTGCTCTCAGGAAACACTTCCTGGAAGATTTCACCTCAGTGATGCTGGTCTCTTCTTAATCACTGCTCATTTCTTAGCTCCAGCTCACCAGTATCCATCATCCCAGTAATGTAAAGGTTGCACTTCAGTAGTTCCGGTATCTTGTTAATCACAGCTGAATCTTCAACCCCAGCTAACCAGAACCATAGAATCTTAATTCAGAATAACAAGCGGCCCCATAGAGTCTTTAAACTTCGCTCTGAAACTTCACTGGCCAGGCCTCCATCCTGCACTCTCTCAACATTCTTACCTTGCAAGTTCCTAAAGAACATCCCACAGAGCTCTTAACACCAATGGGCCTTTTAGCCCAAAGTTCCAAAGTCCTTCCACAGTCCTCCCCAAAACATGGCCAGGTCAGTCACAGCAACACCCCACTCTGCTGGTGCAAATTTACCTTAGTTAGGGTTTCTGTTGCTTCGACAAAACAGCATGATCAAAAAGAAAGTTGGGGAGGAAAGGGTTTATGTGACTTAAGGTATCCAGATCATCGTCCATCAGTGAAGGAAGTCAGGAGAGGACCTCAAACAAGGCAGGAACCTGTAGGCAGGAACTGATACAGAGGCCGTGGAGGATGCTGTTTACTGGCTTGCTTCCCCTGGCTTGTTCAGTCTGTTTTCTTATAGAACCCAGGACCACCAACCCAGGGATGGCACCATCCACAATGGGCTGGACCCTCCCCTATTGATCACTAAATGAGAAAACGCCTTACAGCCGGATCTCATGGCAGCATTTCCTCAGCTGAGGCTCCTTCCTCTCTGATGAATCTACCTGTGTCAGGTTAACCCACAAAACCAGCCAGCACAGCGTGTAAATCTTTGTTTCATCTGCAATACTTTTGGCTTATGCTATGAGGTAAAAGTATAACTTGGTATCTTTTACAGTTCTCTTTGTTTTGCTCAATCTGTTTTTTATTAAAAAATATACATATCTAGGGTCCCATTTGGTTGGTTGGGATTTAATAGAACACACCACAGGGTCTGAGTAAAGACTGGGCCCATGTGGCAGAGTGAGTGTCCCTTCTTACACATTTTAGAGGAAGGGGAGGGTCTATAGCCACCATGTGATTGATGGGCATATGCCCGAGTCAGGTTGTCTGTATATAAACCAACGACAAAGGCAGTGGCGAGAGCACAAATCTAGAAAAGGAAATTAAGGGAAGAGCTTTTCGACACGCTCATCCGTGCTAACGGAGGGGTCCAGCAGTGTGTGTGTGTGTGGGGGGGATGATGGACCAGCCATAGATGCCGTGGAGTGAGCAGGCCTTTCACACTCATTTTCAGCCCTCTACCCACCACATGACCCTGCCACTCCCTGGAAGTTAAAAAAGGCCATCGGTGATGAGAGGGCGGCAGCAAACTGTAGAACCCACCGCATGCATGAATCTTGCGGAGCTCGGGCTCGGGGATGCAGCTTCCATGCAGTGTCACCTAGGCCGGGGTGAGTTTTCAGTGACACAGTGGCCTTTGAGTTGCCCCTGCTCCGTCACAGAATATTTGTCAAAGATGTGTTGCCTTTGTTTAGGTATGAAAAGATGTGTTGTTGTTTTACCACGCCTGCCTAAGGCACCTGATTGGTCTAATAAAAAGCTGAACAGCCAATAGTGAGGGATGAGATAGAGGTGGACCTCCTGGGCAGGGAGAGTAAGCAGGAGGAGGAATTTAGGCTCAGGAAAGGGAAGAAAGAAAAAGATGCCAGGGAGACGCTAGGAGCCAGACAGGCAGACACAGAGGAAGCAGGAAAACAGGACATACAGAATGAGAGAAAGGTTTAAAAAAAAACCCTAAGGCAAAACACAGATGAATAGGAACAGGTTAAATTAAGTAAAAGAACTAGTAGGACACTCCTAAGCTAAGACCAAGCACCCACAATTAATAGTAAGTCTCTGTGTCTTTATTTGGAAGGAGGTTGGTGGCCCAGAGAAAAGGCCAACTACACTGTTCCTATGAGTAACTCCAGTAAGCAAGTTGGCTCATCACAGCTTTGACCGAATCTTTCCTGTGATGTGTTGTGGGTTTCTTTCTGGGCTGAGTGTGTGTGCCTGTGCATTGTGCCTCGACAGACAACAGGAAAGAGTCAGGGCCAGCCAAATGCAGATCATCACTCTGTTTCCGTGTCTACTTAGACTTGTCACTGTCAGTCTTTTCTCGCTTATGAATAATCAGCAACTCTTAGAATTATATCTGTAGTGAAAGGCAAGTACCTCCTGATGCCAGCATTTTTAAGTAAATCTAAGTACTCATACAGAACTTATTTGGATAATCTGAAGTGTGTGTGCCTGCATGTGTGGAAATCCATGTATGTATGTTGGTAGACATCCATAGTCAGTGTGTAAAGTTCCTTTTATTTCAGCATAATTTGTATCCTTACGGAAACAAGATGGGGAAAGTGCAAATACGCCTCTCACCAATTCGTGTTTGATAACTGTCCTAGTTCCATTCTGTTGCTGTGATAAAAACACTCTGGGAAAAAGCAACTTAGGTGAGAAAAAGATTCATTTCATGGAGGAACATTGCTTGCTGACTCCATCTCATGTTCATAATTTGCTAAGTTTTGTTTTTTTAACTGATGTGTGTATATATGCACATGCATCTGTGTGTGCACAAATGTGTGTGTGCACATGTGTATATGTGTATGCATGCATGTGTGTGAGGTGTTCGTGCTTGTGTGAGACAGAGTTTATATGCACTACATGTATGCAGGTGCCTGCAGAGGCCAGAGGGCATTGGATCCCATGATACTGGAGTTACAGGCAGTTGTGAGTCACCGTGTGAATACTTGGTATCAAATCTGGGCCCTCTGCAAGAGCACCAAGTGCTCTTAACAGTAGAGACGTCTCTCCAGGCCTCTTAGCTAGATTTCTTATACAGGCCAGGACCACCTGTCTGGGGAATTGTACCACCTACAGCGTTCTGGACCCTCTACAACCATGGAGACAATCCCACGGACTTATCTCTACAGGCTGAGCAGATTTGGCAATCTCTCAATTGAGACTCCTTTCTCAGGTGACTCTGGACTGTGTCAAGCATTAATGCCAACTAGGATGATCATGTAGACCTGGCCTGCAGATTCAGGTTGAATAGTAAAACAAAACCCCCACTTCCAGTAGGGAGCCTGGATTTACTGGCAGAGTTCTAGTTAAGTGCATCTGGACTAACCATTCACTGGGATGAACTATTTGTGCCCTTTGATTCCGTGTCCTAGACCTGGTTTTTTACCCAGTACTGTGTTGGGATGCCAATGCCACTGATCAGTATGTGCCCTGACCTCAAAGGAGAAGAAATGAACAAAGAGAAAAGGCCTCCAAGACTGAACTTGTGTCTTCTAGACCTGCATGATTAAAATCATCAGTTCTGAGGGCAGTGGGAGAACTCTGTCCTCCCTTGACACCACTCTGTCCTGGAAGGGAAGGAGAACAGAGATGTACTCCACAATAGTCAGCACACACCATCTCCACCCATAGCCTCAGAAGCTCTGTAGTCATCCATGGAGAAAGCTCTGGGAACGTTCAGGGTGTTAGACTTTCTCCTACACAGCAGCTGGATCCTCCATTGGCCTTGGCAGCTTTAAATCTAACTTCACACAGGCCCTGGAGAATGGGAAAGGAGATCTAACTTATGGGAGCCACTGTTCATGCATGCTTTTTAATTCACAACCACCCTCTCTCTCTCTCTCTCTCTCTCTCTCTCACACACACACACACACACACAAACACACACACATACTCATACACACAAATGCTCACATACCCACCAACTCAAACACACACCCACTCACACAGCCCGCTCACACAACTACCCACTCACACACAAACCCATTCACACACAAACACCTACTCACACACACACCTGCTCACCCACCCGCTCACACACCACCCCACTCACACACCCATACTCACACACCCATACTCACACAGCCACACACTCACACACCCACTCGTTCACACACCCACTAACCTGTAGAAGCCCAGGGAAATTAATTGCATTCATAAAATTAGCCCAGAACTTCAGTCTCCCTCCTGTCCCCAAGATCAGCACCCAGCTTGTCTGTTATTGTTCAAGTCCCAAGGTGGCCAGTACAGTTTGGGACACAGTCTTACACACGGCTCTCGAGTTTGAAATGCAAGTCTCTGAAACTCTTTGACCAGGTTTACCTTCCAGGTTCTCCATCGCCTTGCCCCACCCTTGCCCCCCCAGGTCTGCTTCGGAAAGGGTCTCACCACCACAGCTCTGGTCTGGAGCCGCTGACCCTGGGACCCACATCCTGACCACATGTGAGCTGAAGCAAATGGCTTACCTACTCTGAATCTTAGCTTTATTTAGTATATCATGCTTCTTCATAACCATGATACTGCATATGAAATATGAGACTATGTCGTGTGTGTGTGTGTGTGTGTGTGTTTCTATCCAGAGCCAAGATAATATCAAAGCACTATTTAGTTTAAGTGTTACTTCTTTCAGAGGCATGTTGACAACATAAAGTATACAAAGAAAAACCAGCCTCATGACCAAGAAAATAATTATCAAATACCGTGTGCCAAATATTATGTCCATAACTTTATAGTTGTTCTTGGTGTTTATTCCTCTCTCTCTCTCTCTCTCTCTCTCTCTCTCACACACACACACACACACACACACACACACACACACACACACACACACACACACCAGTGTAGCTGGTATTATCCTGACTGTCCAATATCATGGAATTTAGAGCAAAGTAGGAAAGGAATTCTATCCCCAGTCAGTTTGAGCCAAAAACCCAGTAGTCTTAATGTTCCATGTCCCCTCCCCTGCCATGTACAGAGGATGGTGTGCCTGCCTAGCTGTAGAGGGTGGAAGGATCACTCAGATGTCTCAGTAGCTCAACCTATTCTGACATCCCGTGGTTTAATGGCCAGCAGAAAATGGAACCAAACTGGCAAGTGTGGCCTTGTAGATGAACAATTTTTCCAGCTCCTTGGTCTTTGTTGGTGTTCTTACCTCTTTGCATCTCTTCCTTCCTCACCTAGGTAATTTACACAGGCTTGTTTTTCAGATGGAAGCCACTGCAGTTAATAAGCGGGTCAGAGACACAATGGCGGAAAGTAGCCCCCAGATGACTTTTTAACAGTGGTGATGATGGACATCACTTGGAAACTGTCCTGGATACCCATCTTCATTTTGTACTCTTCCGGTGCCTGTTCAGATAAGCCTTGTGGCACCCATGGGAAGAATCTAAAATTCTGCGTTGCTGAAGTCTTGCCCTGACTGTAAAATTTGATACTCAAATCCTTTAGAATGCATTGTTCAGTATGACACAGTGTCTGAAATAGTGGTCTCTGAGGGGGCACTGCCTACCTGGGTTTGAATCTTACCTCATCTCAGCTTCTCACTGTGTGACTTGAAGATAATGTAATATTTGTTAGTTAGGAGGCAGGGAAACACAAGTAAATTGTGCAAGGCTTTTAAGATGGTCTTAAGTCCCTGGGGAGCTTTCTTTATGTGTCTCTTCTTAGAAAGTGTTGGTGCCGGCCTGGTCTTTGCAGTTATATTTGTATCTACTTGGAACATCCTTATAGGAAAACCTCTTCCTGCCTGTCTTTAGGGTCTTTCATATATAAAATCCTATCATCTGTAAATAAGGATACTCTGACTTCCTCCTTTCTTATTTGTCTCCCCTTTATCTCCTTCTTTTGTCTGATGGTTTAGCTAAGACTTCAAGCACTGTGTTGACCAGGAAGGAAAACAAGGGATATCCTTTTTTTGTTTCTGTTTTTAGTGCTTTCATTTAGCATGGTATTGATCTCTCTCATGGGTGGATGATGTCTGAATCTTTAGATATGTGTATTTAAATTGGAGTGCCCACAGGAGGCAGGAGACCAGTAATGGGCCATGGGGTGGGAAAACTTCGAGAGAAGGGAGGATAGAATGTGGTGGTATGGAATGGACTTGGAGGGATGCTCTCTCATCCTGAACACATGGGGGAAGGCCTAGGCCCTGCCCTGGATGATATGACAGACTTTGGAGACCCCCCCATGAAGGGTTTTGCCTTCCCTGGGGAGCGGGGTGGGGTCTGGGTGGGGGATTGGGAAGGTTGGGGGTGGTGGGGGAGGAGGGGCGGGAGCTAGGATTGACATTTGAAGCAAGCTTGTTCCTAATTTAAATAAAAAATTAAAAAAAAGAATGTGGTGGTATGAAAGCAGGAAGGGGGATAATGGACCAGGAAGTGTTAATGGGATGGGGGGGGCGGAGCAGGAAAGTAAGCATAGGTGCAGGAGGCTGTGGGAGTATACAGCAGGTGACAAGTAGTGTTCAGCAGGTTGTGGGAGTATACAGCAGGTGACAAGTAGTGTTCAGCAGGTTGTGGGAGTATACAGCAGGTGACAAGTAGTGTTCAGCAGGTTGTGGGAGTATACAGCAGGTGACAAGTAGTGTTCAGCAGGTTGTGGGAGTATACAGCAGGTGACAAGTAGTGTTCAGCAGGTTGTGGGAGTATACAGCAGGTGACAAGTAGTGTTCAGCAGGTTGACCCACCAGACAAATGACTCTGATGGGGAGACCCACTTGGCAAAGCCATGGAGTTATTGACTGTAACCGAGCAGTTGCTTCTGGCTGTAATTCTCTCATGTGCTATCACATTCCTTCCCTAAGAACTGATAAGGATGCTTTCCCACTGCTTGTGTGTGTATCTCATTTATACACACATCTATTGGGCACACGCATAGCTGTGGATGATCAGGAAGATGATTTATCCTTAACTGTATAATTTTGATGAATAGAAACAATGCTAGGATATTTTATATTACTTAGACTGACACAGGAAAGTAATAGTATTCTCAATCACAAAGACAGCTTCTTTTGGACCTGAGAACAAATTGAAAGCAAACTGGTTGCCCCTAGAGACAAATACATGAGGTCAGTTTCCCAGGTGTTTATCGCTGATTCAAGGTCAGAGCTTGAAGCAACTTTAATAGTCATAATTCTCATCAATGGACTTCCTTCGTGTGCGCCCGACCTCAAGGTTCAGCCAGTTAATTGCTTATTGTCTAAGTCCTGAATTTTAATCTCACTTTCTGTCTGGGAAAAAGCTACATGCACAGTCAAGCATTACTCACTGGCCAGTCAATGTGACCTCCCTAGCCCGAGAAAAACTGTGTGGCTTATCTTGTGTTGTGGTAATGGGCTGGGTCCTGAAAATGTAACATATAATTGTGGCTGAGAGAGAAGGTATGCAGAGCTATGTAGAGAGCTGCTGTGTGAAGAGCTGGGCAGAGGTGTGTGAGTGTGTGTGTGATGTGTGTGTGTGTGTGTGTGTGTGCTTAGTAAGGGATGTAGCTAAATGGGCAGAGAAAGAAGTGTGAGAAATGAGAAGGAGGAGGAGGAGAGAAGTTTTATGTGTTGGTAGGAAGAGTAGCTGAATGTGCAGAGAGAAATGTAGAGGAGGAGGAGAGACGAGAGGGATGTGTCTGTGTAAAGAAGAGTGAAGGTGTGCAGTTGTGTGAGAGTGTGACTGTGTGAAAAGAGAAGCGACTGTGTGAAGAGATGTGTGGCTGTGCAGGAGAGAGATTCATGTATGTAGAGAGAGATTTTCAACTGTATGTAAAGAGACATAACTGTGTAGAGAGACTGTCATTCAAGATGAAGTGAATGACCATCAGGAAAGTGTGCTTGTTCCTTTTTCTTACATTACCATCAGAAGGAATGTGTTTCCTTATTTACCCCTCAGATAGAAAAAGTCTAGGCCTCACCTAGATAAAAAATTTTTCCTAAGCCCTCGCTATCTGAGACATTCCTTTATGCTACTCTGGAGCAGTCACAGGAGCTGGTCTCCTGGGCTTCAATACAGAGGGAGGATACATGAACTGTCTTTGAGGATTCTCTATGGAAGCCTAGAAGCTTCTTCAAACACACACACACACACACACACACACACACACACACCTATAAAAGCTGTTTAGATGGAGTTACCCCATGACGAGGGAATGAATAATGACTCCTCCATACACCATAGACTATTAAATAAAAAAGCCCAGAGCCAGACATGTGTTACATCTTTCTGAGTTGTCACCTGTTCAAGGGACAACCTGGACTTCAGACAAAGTGAATTCTTAATGTTCATTCATCCCCAACCCTCTCATTCTTTGTTCTGTGAGAAAACAGAGATCCAGCTAGATAAGTCACCTCACGGGAGATTAGTGCCTAGAGAGAGGCTCCCCAAGCCTGGTGCTCCTCTCTCTGCCTTCTCTTTCCCCACAGAGGTAATTCCGGTGCTTTGGGGACAGTGGCACAGGCTGTACTCACTGAAGCTCTGGCTGAAGAGAAGCATGTGCCTGAAAAGGAAAGACATATTTAGGGAAGGGAGGCATTTGTGTGTGCAAGATGAAATCTTCATCTAATCTTTAGATTCATTGGAAATATAGATATCCGTACCTACTGAGTCAGTATGGTATCTCTATGACAATCAGTAGCCAAGAGTCTATACTATTGTCAGCCAATATTGGTGTTATATTTTTTCCCCATTGTCAGTTTCCTATTACAGGATTCCACCTAGAATACCACGTTGCACCAGTCTTGGGGGCAGCAGGTCCTCAGGCTGTTCTTGTTTTTACCACAAGAATTTTGAGGATTACCGTGAGGTGTTTTGTGGAATATCCCTTGGCCAGAATGTCTGATGCTGGTCTTGTGGTTGTGCTACGGGTCACATACATACGACGTTCTTTCACATCCTAGGTGTACAAGCATCAATATGATTATCACCAAGGACGTTAGGTTTCTTAACCTAAGCCAAGTGCTTACCAGATTATTATACTGGAAATGATTTTTCTCTTTCCCTTTTCTCCATGGTATTCTTTGGATGACAGTCATTATTTGACTCTCTCCTTGAGAATGGAGTATCTGTTAGCAATCAGGCATTATGCTAGCCTATCACCAGACAGGACGTGCTTGCCAGTACTCAGGCAGTACTCTGACCTGCTCAGGGTCCTGACAATGCCAACCGATACATCACTATCGGGCATGTGCTATGTCCCCCAATAAAAGGCAGGTCCCGCCCATCTCTCTCTGTCCTCTCTCTCTCTCTCTGTCTCTGTCTCTCTCTCTCTCTCTCTCTCTCTCTCTCTCTCTCTTCCACTCCTCCACCACCTATGTCCCAGAAGCCGTCCTCTCCCCCTCCCCTCCCCCTTTTCCATTTTCTTCCCCCAATAAAAATCTTTCATGTGAGCCCTGATGCATGATGTGTGTCCCTTTCTCTCTCCCGCCGTTTTTTAAAAATTATAACAGTATCTATTTCTTTATATATCTTCAAATTGACTTATTTATCCCCTATACACACTTATTCATTCAATAACTTATTTATATTAGTATGGACTAAGAAAGGCACCAATAATACCAACTTGCATCCGACACACAAAAAATTAATGATGAATGAACACTATTACAGTTGACAAAAGAATATATAACAAGCATTTGTACCCACAAAAACTTGCTTGATAATGTTCATAGCAGAATTACCCATAATAGCGCAAAGGTGGAAACAGTCCAAATGTACATGAACATCAGCTACATACACATAAATCGTGGTATGTCTTTTCAATGAAATATTATTCAGCCAGTAAAGGAATAAGTGATAATACATATTATAACCACACAGACGAACCTTGAAGGCATGTCAAGTGCAAAATGCCAATCATAAAAGGTCAGATATCATATGAGTCAGCTCACACAAGAGGGCCACAGGAATACTTACAGAACAGAAACAGGTTCCTTCATATTTAAGGATGAGAGACAGAAGACTCTTTGAACTTGGGAATGAGGGCTATTTGGTGGCTAGTTAGAGTTTGGAAGTAAGGAAATGACAGTTAAAAGGTACAGCACTTCCTTCAGAAATTAAGAAAATGTCCCAAAATAGAGTGTGAAGACAGTTGCATATATTGGTAACTGTAATAAAAATATCTGAACTATTCACTTAAATGAGCTGCCTGAACTGTGTATCAATGAAATTGTTTTAATGCAGTGGTGCTATGGGATTGCCTAAGACCACTGGAAAACACAGCAAAATTAAAGTTATGAGGTAGCAATGAAAATAATGTTATGGTTGCAGGGGTGGGGGGTGTCACGGCAACAAGAGGACCTGTATTAAGAGGCCACAGCATTAGGAAGGTTGAAAAGCATTGTCTTAAAGCACCATGCAAGTTGAGAACTACAGTTTTGTCTCTTGTAGACTAACACGGAGCTGGCTGGAACTTTGCTTTGGAGGCCAGGATTGTTTGGTTTGGGAATAATCAGGGGCACACATCACTTCAGCACACTGGGCAACCTCCCCAAAGCACTCACACATGGTCCAGAAGTCACTACAGTGGTTTTGCATGCTTTCTTCTTACGCTGTGCTTTGCTGACGATATAAATTTGCCTCCTTTGAGACCATGAAAAGAAACGCAATGGGGGGAGGACATGAAGCATTCTCGTGAAAGACAATCTAAGGCTAAAATACGGGTGCTCCGCTCTCCTTTCAAACACGCATGCCCAGATCCACACTACGCCTCCCGGTGCTCGACCCTCCACGCAGCTTCCTCTGTCTTGCCTACTTCATTAGCTTGATTACCCTCTCCTCTAAGAATCTCTGGCCCCAGACTGTTCAGCCTAAGGCTCAAAGAAATGGGCCATTTAAACATTAAACAGAGCCAGACAGACATACGGGGAGCTACAGCTTGCAGCCTGTGAACTCGAACTTGTTGGCAGATTCTGACCGGCAAATACATAACCCTCGTACTGATTAGCTCATCGTTTGTCTGTGGACTTGGCCCAGGGCAATCGTTTATTTCCAAGTCCCATCTGCATCCCTGCCATCCCCAGTGAGATAGACTTGGCTCCCTACCAGAGACACGTTTTCAAAGAAAGCTCAAGGAAGTGCCGCCAATGCTCGTCACCACCTGGCAGCATTGCTTCATACAGCGAAAGTGAACAGGGAGTGGGAAGGAAGGAAGGGAGGGAGATCTCCACTGAGCCCTTGCAAGTGGGGGACAGAGGTGTGCCAAAAGCAATGTTTTCCCTGTCAGGAAGTCATACGTCAGGGTGATGTGAGGAGAGCATGTGGGGCTGCTGACTCCAGGGTCAACAGGAGGAGCTGATGTGTTTGGGGATGACTGAGAGAGGAGGAAATCCTCCAGCCCGAACAGAGCCTTGTTATTCTCAGCCGAGAAACTGGAGCTTAGGGTGGCTTTTGCTGTTGGATGGTCCATCTGAGACTGACACAGGAGGAAATACGAAAGGCAGAGAGATGTGAGGGGAACCAAAAGTGTGAGCCGAGCCTTTTGGAGTGTTCTGGATCGAGATTCCCAATTCAGCTTTGCATTCCTGGCCAGGGTCTGTGGAATTCACTCGCACTTCTAGTCTTTCCAGTACATTCTTCCTTTGACACCATCTAGACTACTGATCCTAATTTCTCTCTCCCCTGTGGTGACAAAGATTTATAAAATCGTAACCATTTCTCTGACTGGGAGGCGGTGGCACACCCCTTTAGTCTCAGTACTCGGGAAGCAGGGGCAGGTGGATCTTTGAGTTCGAGGCCAACCTGGACTATACAGTGAGTTCCATGACAGCCAGAGCTACAAAGAGAAACCCTATCTCAAAAAAAAATCTAACATTTGTCAATTAAGCCACATCTCTCAGACTGTTTCCTGAATCTCACATTGTGTCTTTGTCAGTTTGGGCTGCTCTAGACAATATCACAGACTGGAGGGCTTAAACAAGCATTTGTTCCTCCTGGTTCTGTAGATCGGTCAGTAGGCTCGTAGGAAGGGCTCTTTTCCTGGGTATTCCCACACACGAGCTTTTCCTGGTGCAAAGGAGTGGGTCTGAGGAAGAGGGGGTGGAAATATAGAGGTGGGTGGGGGAATGGGATACAGGGAGGGAGTGGGGATGAGGGGGAGGAGACAGAGGTCCCAGCCTTTCCCCTTTCTGTAGAGATGTTGATGTCACCGAGGAGACCCTACTGATACACTTTCCTCTAAAGCTAAGTACTTTGTAAAGACTGCTTCAATATGTCTGTTTGGAGAATGATACAGACTTTCAATCCATAGGAGACCACCAGCCACAACCTATGCTTGCTAAGGTCTGAATGTAACACCTCAAACTCCACTATGGAAACACAAACACACTGTAATAGCATCAAGAAATAAAGATTTCAGGAGGGTGACTAAGCCAATACGTGGGCACTGTCCCTATGAATGGGGCTAGGACCCTTGCATAAAGGCTGGAGTACATTTATTCTCTTCGGTCCTCTGTCATGTTAGTGTATAGTACTTGTCCCTTTAGCCTCCTGCCTTTTGATATGTGAGGGCACGGGAGTTTGTACCTTCTGTGCCTATGGCATCCCTCTTCAAGCAGCCCCCTGCCGAATGTCAAACTCGAACTTTCCAACCTTCCGAGATGTAAAGCTAAGTTTCTATCAATGACGAAATGTCCAGCCATGGTATTTCGTTACAGCAGTACAGGAGGACCAAGACTACAGCTGCCACTAGCTGTACCGACCCATAGGCCTCAGCTTAGAGGCCTGACTCAGAGTGGAGAGAGGGCAGATTTCTGGGTGAAACTGATGCCATCTGCCACAGGCATGGTCCTGACGGAGTGGTGGAGCTGGATAGAGAAAAGCAAGGTTCAGATGCAAGAGTATCGGCGCTACCGACGCCAGCACGTTCGGGAAAGCATACAACTCCTCAAGAGTATCGGCGCTACCGACTGATGCCAGCACATTCGGGAAAGCATACAACTCCTGCAAAGTCTGGAATGGCTTCTTCCTGCCACTCACCACACTGAGAAGCCCATGAACAGGACTCTAGGGAAGGCCCCAGAGGAAATTCCCACTTAAACTCGGTACTCAGAACCGGCCGCTGCATGAGATAGCAGTTTCGAGGAGTCTTGGCAGATGCTTCTCTTCACTCGACAGGGGAAATCCGTTTGCCAGGAGCTCTGGCTTTACCTACTCAATATCATATATGTATTTACTTGCCAGTGACGTGAGAAATGTAAGTCTAGCAGACAAAGCAAGCAAAACCACACACAAGGCTCCCCAATCCACACTCACCTCTTTGGTAACCCTGTACGTGTCTATATATGTGATCATGGAATTTTTGCCTAACAGCTGCGAACTGTCAGTTGTCAACAAACATTTCCTCCATACTCCATCCTACAGATAACATGCTAAAGGACTTCCTAACGAACATGGTACCTAGAAAATTGCCTTGCCTGAACTGTTGAGCTTGGGATGACATGACTAATGGTGTATATGAACATCAAATGAGAAAGAACCAAGATGTAATCTGTATCAATAACTGTTCTTGTATCAGGCTAACTGAGCCAGACTTAGAAAAGTAGCAGTTTCCCCGTGTGTGTGTGTGTGTGTGTGTGTGTGTGTGTGTGTGTGTGTGTGTGTGCGCGCTGTCTGTCTGTCTGTCTGTCTGTCCAACCACTGGGCATTACAGACCATACTCTGCTGGGAGGAACTGAAAGGCACTCAAAAGAGGAGTTTCCAAGTTGGCTATTGGTGGACAGTGGGGACTGGGGAGACGGCTCAGCGGTTAAAGCTCTTGATGAACAAGCCCCAGATGGCACTGACCACAGTCCTGTGCAAGCAGAAAATGGAAGTAAAGATTTAAAGCTGTCTGGAGAAATAGTACATGTCTTCTCTTACATGTAGGATCAAGACTTGAAAAACAGAAAGACATGTCTT